TCTGTCTCAAATATCATATTACTAACATAGCTGCTTGTAGTTTTCAACTTGGAGAGTGGACGAAGCCTCAGCATAAAACAAGTAGTGTCTCAGTCTTTACTTTTTAAATATTCTGTGTGTTCCCTAATCTGCTGCATGACTGGTTGGTTGAATGACTATTGGATGAGTGAAAGAATTTAGTGGCTTCAGGATAGTGTTTGTTTGAAATTTTTGTCTTTGTGTGAGTGTGTGTGTATGAAAACTAAAGTTGACACAAGTGTGAGGATTCTTAATGGTTTTGAAAGTTCCAGATTATAAATAGTAAAAACTAGCACAGTCAAAGGCCACAATTTAAATCTTTTAGACATCCAGACTGAACATACTAGTGGAGCTACTAATAGGTATTAAGAATTGAGTACATACATGGAGGTGGCCAGTGATGGGAAATCACAGATTAGCCTCAAACTCCAAAGGAGGCCACTGTGTATCTCAAAGGATTGCTGATTGCTACTCCATATGCCTTAGAAGCTCTCAACCTAGCAGGAATAAGTAAAATGCTTGAAATACATAAAAAGTACCATGCAAATCTCTATTTGTTAAAATATGGCTTTTTTTAGGTTAATTAAAATAAGGAAAGTAATATCCTCATTTCTATGACCAAGTTTTAGAATGTGAGAAATGTCTCATGCATAGGCCCTTCTCTGAGCAGTAAGATGGAGAGTTAGTTTGATTTATTTAATACATAGACTGAGGGGAATGAACCCAATTTAGCCTTATCCTCTTTTTAAACTGTGCATCAATAGATTAGTGGGCCTGATGGAAAGTAAATTACTGAAGCTATAGCAAAGCTCAGGATGGTCAGGTTCTAACTTGTTCCCTTTCAGGGGCCATTGGGCTATTTGAACCACGACAGCATTTTTTGCCTTTCACTATTGAATGACATTGGCACACTGACATTTCCATTAATCTAAAGAAATTTGTTGGTATCACCACCGAACATATGAACAACCAGAATCCAGGCAGCCTTGCCCTAAAACGTTCTCTCTGATGTACCACTGAGTGCAGGAGTCAGCGAGAAAACATATTGCTTGATTGTGTGGCCATTTCAACAAGGAATAAAGTGGTAAACAGGAGCAGTAGGCAGAAGATGATAAAAGAATAGGCAGGATGGCCAAAGCAATGCACAGACAAGATGATCATGGGGTCCACCGAGCACATTCCTGCATTAGTACCCCTGGCATAATGAGCTAAAAGGTGCTGGTCCAACAGACTGAAATGTAAGTCTGCTGAGCAACACTCCCAGGTCTCCACAGAGCAGCATTTTTATTGCAGTATGTCTTTCATGGAAAATGAACAAAACTTTAAATAAATCACAATTACTTATTGCTTAGTATTTTGGATAATAAATTCTTTAGTTTATCAGTACCTCACGGCCTTCAAATGTGCATTCTTCAGAGAGTTTCAATTACATATACATTCTTTCTCCTGAACAATAAATTATTCTTAAAAAAAAAAAGAAAGGAAAAGATACATAATTTTAAAGCAAAGAAAAACAAAAAACATATATTTTTGACATTTATCTTCAACTTATAGGAAAACAACTCTCTCTATATGTTAATGCTTAAATATAAATAATAAAAGACATTATGTTATTTACAATGTTACACAGTAAGTTGAGAGAGTAAAAAGACATTAACTCATAAAGACAGTAAATGATTTAAGAAAACATCCACGTAATGTACAATATGTATTTACAAAAGAATATATAATAGAACTTGTGATATGTGGCCATTTCCTTCTCTCTGTACTTCTCTGCAGTGTTTCGTGGGTCTTTGCAGAATAGAAATCTGTGTGGCTGGTGGAATGCAGTCTGTACTGAAAGATAAGACCAGGTCTTCCTTATTTTCACCAATGTGAGCCACACACCCTTCAACCCCAGACCATAAAAAAGGAATGGTTACTGAGCAAGTTACCCTGGATAAACTCCACCTATATCAAGACAGTCACACTGAAACAGGAAAGAGATGGCATGTTGTTGTTTGGGACACATTCACCTACACAGAGGACCATTTTGTAGAAAGCAGAAGGCTGTCTAGGAACTCCTGGGAAAACAAAAGTCAGACCAGGCAAGAAGGGAAACAGGGACAGAAAAGAAACCTTGAGTGAGAAAAGAGGAGTTTTTCATATACTATGAAACTCAGGATTTCAGACCCAGGAACAAAGTTGCCATCAAACTTCTGGGCCATTTCTACTACTCTAACACCCAAAACAGCTTTGCATATGCTGGGAACATAGTTGTCAGCCATCTGGATTGCCACTGTACAGCCTGAGTTTATAAACAGGGATGGCTAATTTCTACTACTCTAACACCCAAAACAGCTTTGCATATGCTGGGAACATAGTTGTCAGCCATTTGGATTGCCACTGTACAGCCTGAGTTTATAAACAGGGATGGCTAAGAGTGGTGCGGACGCATCACAGAGACGTCCCTGTGAACATACATCTGATGGCTGCAGCAGGTAACCCTGAACAGTCAGCTGGCCTTTTTTAATCAAGGGAAGTTCTGGTTCTATGGGTAAAAAAGCTGTCCCAACTAATATGCCACCTCTATGAGTGACCAGAATCAAGTTGGAAATAAAATTCCCTTTTGTCCTAAATTTGTATACATATTTGCAATTCGAAAATGTACAACCATTCTCATATTGAGGAAGATGGTGGTGCATATTGTTCTCAACAGAAAGATTCTACTTATTCTTGAAATTTTCCAGATGGGGATATCTGAATAGCTCAATGCCAAAGAATTTGAGACAGAGTTTTTAGGATTTCGAATTGATGGTGAGAATTTCTTCATTGAAATATCTAAGAATGATTCAAAGCCTTCAAAGCAATGTTGAAATAACTTAGGGAATCTCTTTGGGCTGACCCTCCTCTCTATGCTATGAGCTTACTCATTTCTAGAGTTGGGAAATCAGTGCTACTTGACAGGGGCTTCTCTGTGTAGGTTAAGAAGCACAGAGAAAGTGGCATGTGAACAATGACAGGAAACTTGGGATACCAAATACTAAGAGTAACTTCAAGGACCTGTAGACAGGCAGCTCTGTGGATTGCAGAAGCGTTACTCATTTCTAGAGTTGGGAAATCAGTGCTACTTGACAGGGGCTTCTCTGTGTAGGTTAAAAAGCACAGAGAAAGTGGCATGTGAACAATGACAGGAAACTTGGGATACCAAATACTAAGAGTAACTTCAAGGACCTGTAGACAGGCATCTCTGTGGATTGCAGAAGCATGTAGGAGCACAACAACATGACTCATGCCCAGCCTGCATTTTTCTTCCAAGACCTACTTGTATGTCATTTCTTTCCTTTAATTTTTAACATAAAGATTTGGTGAAGAAATTGATTCAGTTCATCCACAAAAAAGAAGCAATTACTCTTGGCTGCAGGAATCCCTGCTAACCTGTTTCCTATTTTTTCCCATGGCTCTTAGGAGGCCACATGGAATCTAAGTAAAGCTCCAGCCGTAATGTGTCAGATATTAAGCTGGCATAAAATGGGTTCTGCGTTTGAAATGTTTTTTTCTCTCTTATTTTCTTGAATTATAAGTTATTTCAAATGTTAATATCTATAGGCCTTCCTAGGATTTACACTCATGAGAAAACATGCAAAGTTTAGACTAATCTTAGTCCTGCTTTGTGACAGTAAAGAAAAAAATAAGGGAGGGAAATGGGTGATACAGGCTGTATATGGAGAGGTCAGCACACAGGTGGGGGTCACTGCTGCAAGTAAAGGTGCAATTGTTCCAACACTGTTGACATTTCCTGCTGAGTCATCACTTGTGGAAGGTTCTTGCTAATCACAAATCACATATGCACACTGGCCATTCCTGACAAAAATGTTCATGCATAGTTGCATAGTTATGACCTAACGAAGGCAATATTGAAAACAAGAGAAAAATAATGGGAGAATGGAGTGGTCAACCAAACTGTTTAAAATTTCAACCAGGTCTCTCCGCCTGTGTATTCTATATACATTCACTCCTTCTAAACACTCCATGATGAAATTATTTTCCTATGATGACAAGTCACCACTATGTACAGGAGGCACATTTCACTCTAGAAGTATTTCAGACAAATTGCTGAGTGTCCTGTTTGGGCTGGGCTTTTTGTGCATCTTCTTGAGCCGAGAAGACACAACCAATCACTAGCTCCAAAGTCAGCAAAAACTACAAGTCAGAATGATTGCACCTTTATTGGCTCTGGTTTAATCTTCAACTAGATGAGCTGCTGGATCGTTCCCTCAGAGAAAAAGTGAAATTGAGTCCTCCTGTAAGGTGTTCGATTCACCCTGACAGCAAGTCAGAACCCATTTTCTAAGCTATCCCCCAAACTGTTGCTGTTTTCAATCAAAATAAATGGTAGCTCCTTTTAGTCAGAGCAAGCTGTCTTCTGATTAATAATATAGTTTTTTTTTTTAAATCACAGTATTACTTTCTTCCTAATATTTAACATTACTTAATGTAGTTTCCTGCTGTATTTAATAGTAGCATGCTGTGGATCTACTATTATCTCAGAGCCCAGTGAAGCAAACCTTTGGCTGGCAGAGTAGACACAACTCGTTTCATATTCTGAAAGCAAAGAAAACTTCATACAAAAGAGGAGTATTTGGATGGATGTGCCATTACAAGACATACTGATTGGGTACTACTACAAGCAAACAGAGGGACAGTTGTAAGCCTTGCAAATCATACATCCAGTCAACAGCATAATGCAGTGCACAAGAAGCCATCAAAAACTGAATATATGGGAGGCTTGGCTAAAATACTGTGGAAAAGCAATCACTGTAACTGTACAAAACTTGCTCTCGACATAACATAAAGGCACCATTGATATCTTTCTCATTTTGAAATACTGTAAAAAATTGCTACATATGGCACATAACACATTTTTACATACATATATTTAATTTATAAAAGTTTTTTTTTCCTGTTTTCTATTTGCAGAACTGCTAAAATAAAATAAATTGTTTAATTTAAGGTGGAATACTTTATTATATAAAATAAAGTTTTACAGGTGAATCTATGTGTTTATTTAGGGTTTATACAGCAATAGGGTCTTGGTTAGCAATTACACTAGACAGCCTGGCCTGCAATTCTTCCTGTGTCGAGAAGCGGCCTGCTGGGTTAGTCCTGCTGTCAGCCAGGCGGAAGGCAGGTGCTGCCTCAAGACCGGCTGCCAGGGGGTTCTGTATGCCCAGGAAAGGTGTGTCTTCACCTACTCTTTCGTCTTCTGCTTCACTCTCTGAGTTACTGCTCCGGGAGCTTGTGTTGCTGTCCATTTCCAACCTGTTGGCAATGTGGCCATCGGGCTTGGTTCTTTTGGCCCGCCGGCTACTGGCGAGTTTCTTAACAGGCTCCTGAGCGGGCTCATACTCCTGGGTCGTTTCATACTCCTCATCCTCCACTATCCTCAGGGGGCTAGGGGGAAGGCTGTTGCTCTCATGCGCGGGGTTGTGGTGGAAGGAGGGGAACTGTTGAGGGTGGTGGGCATGCTTCTTCTCCTGCAGCCTTGGTGGTGTCACGAGAAGCAGAGGTCTCTCTTCTTCCACGAAGGGGCTGACTGCCACGGAGGGCATGGACACCGTCATGCTGGAAACGGGTGGAGACATTTCCGAAGGGGGCGATTTGGGGGAGCTTGGCGTGTGGAAATCTACAGGTGACATACGAGCCGGGGTGGTCATGGCTGACACAAACCTGTGTGAGCACAGAATACCCCGCATAAGTGTGGTGGAATAAGAGGCAAATAGCAGGGAAGGTAAAGGGACAGAATTCAAGATACATAATCAGAGAACAAAAAATTGCTATTCATTGTATACTTTTCCATTTTTACACTAGGAAATTCAGCACCCTTGGAATCTAAAATTATGTAGCCAAGAGTTTCCTCACAGAAGTACATGCAAAGATCAGCTAAATTGCCTAGCTCATCGAAGCTTTTAGGATTTTCAATCTCATCACGATCTTAATAAAAGCTCGTGAGCCAAGACAAGAGGGCACTAGGTCCTGAAAACCTCTCAGCTTATAAAGACGAAGGCTCAGGGATTTGGAAGGGAAAGAAGTATTACTTAAATACTATACCTTCCTAAAGGCCAAGGGGTCTTAGAGAATGAAGCCCAAATGGGGAATGGAAGAAGATCTAAGATGAGTTGCTGATAGCTGGATCTGCATGCATTTGGATCTGTGTGCCTTGTTTCTCCTTAGCTCAGCTATAAGGTTATGTCTTACAAAAAAAAAGAGCATAGTAACTTAGATTTATTCCTGATAACAGTGTCATACATTTGTGTGCTTTTAATTTTTTCTATGAAATGCTACTAGTTAACATTCAATTGGCAACTATGCATCCCAGTGTCCAAGACATTCAGAGATCAGCCTGAGAGAACTGCAAGTAGTTACCACCATGGAGTCTGTGTCCATGTCTGGTCTCCCTCTATTCCCAACCCCACAGATGCATCAGTCTTTGGTTAATCTTTTGTGACTGCTCAAGGATTGGCTGTCCCATGTTACCTTATGTCATGTTATGTCTGATAATGCTCCTTGAATCTCGTTGTCAGGACACCGAGTGCACTGTTTTTATCATACAATGCTTTTTTCCCCCAGCACGAAAAGGCCTGACTTTTGGCCCTGAGGAAGAGGTGGCTTATTCACACGTCTCAGCTTTTGTAAAAACGCTGTGAATGCATAGCACGAAATGACTCTTTTCTTCTCAGTGGCATTCATGGAGACTAATTTGAAATGACCTGTGATGACACAGGTCACCATTGTCTGAAGTCTAGCTAACAGAAACAGGAAACTTTCCGCTTTTCCATGATCCATCTGATATGAATGTGAGACCCAGCTGTGTCTAAAATGGGAAAGTATCTTGCAGATGGAAATATCTGGGACTTGAGTCTTCAGACTTTCTGTTTTGGGGGTACTTAAATTAAGCTGTCTGAGAAATGCTAATCCAAATTCAACCAACACATCAAGGTGATTCATCTTTTCTCTTTATGATATCTAAGCTCAGGTATATTTTGCAGTCCGAGATAATATCTGGAGTATGCAAGAAAGCCTACCACAGCAGGGAAATGTCAACCTTTGGAGATAAATATCACATGTAGTGATGAAGAAAGATTTCATCCCTAACCTCCTTTTCATGTTTCAAAAAAGATTGAATTAGGATGGATAGACTTCCTTAATACATAAAGATACAATTACATGAATTTAAGATTAATGCTTTAAACCAGTTTTGGAACCTGCCTACTTTTTCATAGATGGGTTTCAGGGAAACCTCTAATTCTGTAAATTCCATAGCACTCTGAAATACCATTTTGGGGGGAAAGCCCTTGAAGAAGTGCTCAGCAGGCTCTGTATGACCTGCAAGCCTCAAGTAGGTCAACCTTTGTCATAAGTACCTCCCAGTCCATGAGTGGAAAGAGTCTATCAAGATCATCTGCACCCATGCAACAACCAAATGAGTATGGATCTGGCATTATGGAAACCTTTTGGTAAGTGGAAACAGATTAGACTGAGATGACAATAAAATAAAATAAAATTTGAAAACAAGCATTTGAAATGCCAATTAGGCATAACTCTCTTCCAGCTTAAGTGAAAATGGATAAAGAGAGTCTACACATTCGATATTCCTATTTAACATCTCTTTCAGTTTACTTTCCTTCATTCTTTATTCTAGTTTTGCTGTAACTCCCCCAACCCAAGCCAATCTCCCCAGAAGAAAGCCAAAACATCCTGGAATGAAGGGTCCTATCAAAGGCAATATCTGCTTTGTAAACCACCTGTGAAGACTGCCAGACACAGCATACGAGAGATTGATTTATTCACCCCTTCCTGGAATTTCATGAAAGGGATACTCTATGGTGGAATGCAAGCAGTGGTTCCCCCATGACAGTCAGCATGACATAGCCCTTGATTTGATTTGTCTGAGGCTGGAAGGTAAGACAGAGTTAGCACAGGAGAACACGAGGCCAGCTCGACCACCATATCAGAGTTTGGACAACTGGACTTATAGGAGGGTCCTAATCAAGCCTTGATGGCATCTCTAATGTTACAACTGAGGACACTGAGACCCTGAGTGGGTCCAAGCCTACGGCCAGAGCTGGGATCTCCAAGTTTGCTGCACCTTCCACATCAAAACATTCCAGCTCTTTAAGAGTCTGTTGCTTCAGCCACTGGGACGAAGCGAGAAGCTCAGAAGAAATGAGTTCGGTCAAACAAAAAGATGACTTCATCACCTAGGCGCACTCCTAGAACAGGCAACTGCCGCCCCTTATCCCGATTAGAGCAGATTTCCTTGGGTGAGATGGCAGGTGCTCACGGGGATTCTCTTACTGAGGTTCTCCTCTGCGGTAGCTCTGCCCTTCGGTTTTACCTTTCACTGTGAGGAGAGTCTCGGTAGGAGTCAGGGGTTTCTCTGGCATGCCTGAGGAAGCTGTTACATTCACGAGGGCCTCCTATGCCATTGAGACGTCCTCTTGGGCCCCCAGTTGGACTGCTGTGCCTACTGTTTTCTACTGATGACATCATGATTACAGAGTGACTTTCCGAAATGATGCTTTCAGTGTGCCCGTTGCTCCAGCTGGGGGAGAAATGTGAGAGGCAATGAGATATTTTTTTTAAAAAATTATATGCAAAAATGGAAATGGAAAAAAAGTGACTGTGACAAATATTTCAAACTATTGGTGCCTCAAATCTCACTACAACATTACCTGTCTCAGAATAAAATTGTTGCAAAGATACTTGCTGTAGAAAGGAACTTGATTCAGAATGGCTTTGTAAGGATACAGTTCATTCATTTGTTCTCTCATTCAATAAGTATTTATCAAATGCCACCAAGTATTCTGACAGTCTCTCTCTCTCTCTCTTTTTTTTTTTTTTCCTTTTTGAGTGGCTTAGTTTAAAGAAACATTTTGTCCTATGAGTAACATTTGGAAGTCTAGCGTTACTCTTGGTAGAGTGTACCTCAGGCAGAGATCAACAGGGCATTTGAGAGTTTAGGGTTCATCTGTTAAACCAATTCTCATGTGCATTTCCCAGGGCAATCCAATTATTGGAAGAAGTAAGCTTCGAGGTATTATACAGAATCTAAGACAGACTTTTCCCAATGTGGCGATTCGGGGAGTAGCAGGGCATGAGTGAAGACAATCTCTAGAATCAGGAATGCCAATCCTGTGAGGTAGGTACTATTACCTCTCTTTTGGTAATGGAAAAATGAGGCTCAAATTTACACAGCAATTAAGGTAGAGCCAACTGATGTCTAAAGTCTGTTTATATCCAAAGACCGTATGTCTTCCTGCCACATAAATGCAACCTGTCCCTTTCTTAGGCAGTGATAGCAAAAGGCACGTGCAAATATTTATTCTTAGAGAAACACCATGGAACTTTTCTATTCTCATACCTGTGACTAGGAGTCTGGGTGACAGTAGTGGAGTGATGTGCTGTCGAGGTATAGTGGCTGGTGGAAAAAGATGTCTCTGCTTCTCTCTCAACAATGTGCTCACTAGAGATGACATTTTTAGATACATATTGCTGGATAAACAAAGAGACACAACTTGAAGATTCATATAAATCAGAACACTAACATTGTCACACACAAAAAAATCTATTCCTGTACACATGCTTCATAATAAATTCCATTTATCCAATGGCCAGATGGCAAACCCTCTGTTGGCTACTCTGGCTTTTACATTAGATGAATGGAGTTAATAAATTACTCTCTGGAAGTGCACACGATGTAGGTCCTATAATCACAGCTACATTTTATCAGTAAATACCTATTCTTTCTATTTCATTTCCAATTGATAATGATTAGAATTCAATACAAATATCTGTCCAATATTCACTTCTGTCATGGTTTGAGTGAAACAGAAGCAGAGAGATAGTTTGTCTTTTTGCAAATTTCAAGTCACTAGAAAAAAATTTTAAAACCTCTATATTTCAGATCTACCATTATCTTTCAATTTCCTAATGCCTACATTGCCCTGCTTATGTCATCGAAATTTTTATCTTGTTCTCAGTAGTAAGACTAACTAGGCTACTGAGAAATTTGAAGGACTTACAATAGTTGTCAAGGTCACACATTTTCGCAAAGCACATAACATACAGAGGGCCTTATATTTAGTTCAAGTAGACTCTATTTTATTTCCATCAGCCAACCACAGTGACGATTACTGCCTTCTGTTAGTGAGGAGGCCTACTTTACAGTCGTGTGCTGTTAGTAATTATACCAAATTGAATTAAATAACAGGAGAATAATGTAAAAGAATATTCTTGAATGAAATAGGGCACTTTATAGTCTGGTGGACTGTGGACTGTAAAGAACTTGATGCATTCATGGAAACCCAAAAATATACAACTCGAATTATGCTTGAAACCCTAGCTGGTTCTCTTAGTGGAAAGGCTATTCCATGAGGATCCTCCTGGGAAATATAGCTTTCTTTCTTTTGGGAAAAGATACATAGTGACCTATTTCTAGTCCCTGTACCATTTCACTCTTGCTTCTTGGGAGGCAATGTAAACTCAGTGAATCTAATGAAAATAATATATTGAACACTCACTAAATGCCATTCACTAAGTGTTTTATGGAGATAATCTTACTTATTTAATGCTCATGAGAAATCTCTGAAATGAGTATTATTTTTAAGCCTGTTTTCATAATAAAGAAATAAGGTTGAGAACTTAAAGCCCAAAGTCACACATGTGAACTATAACTGGAATCCAGGAAGACATTCTGCTTCATGTATATCATAACAATATATCATAACATGTGTAGTGACAGATCATAGTTATGTTGGTAGTGGATGCAGGTATCAATTGTGCAGAATATTCTGATGAACACAGTTAGGGGAAGGAAAGCAGCAAAGTATGTTAACCTATCAGCACCTTGCTCCAACCATCTCCTGAGTCTTTGTTACAAGGCTTGCTGGTAGTTTAGTAACTGCCAACTCCAGACTTGGGTCTATGACATTTCTGCTCCACTCAAAATATATCTTTTTCTATAGGACAGAAAATGGTACTGCAAGATAATCTTCAAGCTTTGTCTACGGAAAAACCCTACATTGGGGGTGCGGAGGGTGGGCACCAACAAGAAAGGTGATGCAGAAATAGAAAAAGCAATATTTTAAAAGCCAGGAGACCTGAGTCCAGCTTAGGCCCTTATCTGTAAAAAAGAGAGGTTTGAAGATGATACCTAAACACTCTCCAGAATCTAATATTCTATGATCTAGTTGTACTTAAAAGCCAAGTGCTGGGTAAAGTACAAACAAAACATTTGCATGATTAAGGCTGTACTTCATCTGGAAGGCTTGACATCACGCAGAAGGAGCCGGCAGCAGCAAGCAGCGCGTTCTCCCGGCTTTGCTACCGAGAGGCGTGATTGATCTGTTACTTGACCTGTCCATGCCCTGATTTCTTCCTTTGCAAATCAGAATCAGTAAATCATCAGGCCCTGTGAAGTGCCCCTAATAAAAACAACTTGACAGCCCCTTGCTCAGATATCTGTATTAATCAGTAATAACTAGAGTAGCCTTCATTTACAAATTATAAAAATAAATAAATAAATAAAAATTTTAAAAAAATCCTTCTGGTTCTTGTAGTATTAATTTTATTATTTTTCTTTGTTTTGTTTTTTTTCCTCCAGCTATGGTCTCCCTGCAGAACAAATCCAACACTATTCTTCCAACCCCTTCATGAACACTCTATAAGAGGAAATGTGCTGGTTTTACAGTAACCAAATCCACTTAAAAAAAGGTTCCCATTATTTTCTCCTGGAAAAACCTAGGATTTCTGGAAGCCATGGTGATTAATAGTGGCAGCTAAGAGCCTAAGAGCTTTAGAAAATAAACTTCAAGGAGCCAGAACACAAGAGAGATGCTCAGTTCTTTGCACGGGCCAGAATCAACATACATTCACCAGCTGCACGTTCTCGGGGGGCGGGTTAGGGTGGTGGGGTCCGTTGGCTATGTTCACCATGTTGTGGCGTTCAGAACGAAGACTCTGCCGAAGCCGGTCATGGAGCTTTTTCCGCTGTTTCCTGGATATGAAAAAGGCAGCATTTCTTAGTAAGGCGAAAACTTTATTCTAGCAATACCGATGAGTAACTCAAGGCAGTGGATTGGTTGTGAGAACAAGGGATGGAGTGTGAGCCACTCCAGCCCAGCATAAGTGGAGTCACACATCCTCAGCAAATGGATTTGAGAGGCTGTATGGGATTCTTACAGAAACTCAGTTGCTTACTGAGGGACAAGGAAAAAGAAAAAAAAAAATGGATGAGTTGATATTTGGCTAAAATTCCACCTTTCCTATCAACCCCTCTTTGCCTAAATCTCACAGATGGTCTTTCGTCTCAAACAGCCATTTGTGCTGTAGAGTTGGTAAGGCTGACTGCATTTACAGTTTCTCCTGTGGGCCTCTTAAGAAAATAAACTTAGGTTTCAATTGTACATTCCACACAGTTGGTGTGTGTTCGTGTGTCATGTGTATATGAGTGAGAATGTGGACAGATTTTGCCAGTAGGCTTTGGCACTGCCGTAACACGATACTCCGCTCGTAATGCTTTTGTATAACTAGGTAATGAACACTGAGATTGAATCACGGGGTTGATTCTCTGAAGGCCTATCTCCACCACTTACTCAGTACTGGCAACACAATAAATCATGGGGTATTAAGAAAACACAATCCCAACCCTTGATTTTGTGGCATAAAAGTATATTGTTTTTGTTTTTCTATGCAACATTTAGATTACGATAATATTCCCATAGCTGGTTTTGGCAAGAGAATACTATGAAGCAAAAATACAAAAAAAAAAGAAAAAAGAAAAAAAACAAAAGCTGTTAATTTAGCATTATTCAGACTAGAAATAGAAGTTATATGTAGAGGAGAAAATTGAAGGGCATTCGTGTCATATAGTATTTGTTAATATGGACCACACTTAAAGGACCAAATGTAGTGAACACAAATCTATTTTAATGTTTTCTATTTTATTCTTTCAATGTAAGTTTTGCTTGATTTTCCTCCCAGTAAATTCCTTTTGTACACCTCATACTTTGAGAGCATTCAGACCGGCCACTTAATTAGGTAAGATTGAGACATAATTACTGTAACTTTCAGGAAACTGCATTTCAGACACCACCAACCGTTTCCTTTATCCCCTTGGTTTGAGTGCAAAGTGGACTTATCCTGGGTGGTGACACACCAAGTGCACCTTTGGCACTGGCCAGCTCCTGCAAGTCTGGTGCCCACGCCCACACATGCACGCGCGCTCCTGGGCCTCCCTACAATCCTGTCCGTCTGACCCTTTACCCACGCACAGGGCTGTGCTCACTTATCAGAAATGTTCTGTGCACCTTCACACAAACAATCAAAGCTTTCTCACGTATATGATTAGGAAAGGTCCTCGAAATGGATTATTCAGAGGAAAAAAAATAAGGGGAAAAAAAGTTCCACCCCTGCCCTTTTTTTCTTCCAAGACTAGGCTGTTGAGCCCGGCTTCCACAGAGCCCTGGCCGTCTAAGCCTTCTCGGCACTAAGGGGAGGGAAAGGCGTGGAAGAGGAAGGTTTACTTTGTTTTGCAGTAGGCCACCACACACATGATGCCGACCACTAGCAGAGCGATGCAGATGCCCGTTATGGTCAGCACTCTCTTCTGGTAGAGCTCCTCCGCTTCTGGAAAGGGAGGAGGACAGATGTCACCAAAGGTCACTTACACTCGCCACGGCTCATTACAACCAAACAGTTGGCATGCTCATGACATTGTCCATGTACACAAGAAAATAAATGCATGACAATGCTTTACATCTACAGACATAACTAAGGTACAACACACTCGGCACTATGCTTTGTACATAAATAACGAAGCCAGCAGGGGCCTTTTAAAGTAAAAATATTATACTCTAAAATTACTCTAATTATAAGCTATCAATATATATATGCGATACTAAACTATCAAATCATAAATATTGATTATAAAATAAATACTTGTTTAAAACTGTAGTTTTTATTTTTAAAATATCCCGTGCAAAAAAAATAATAAATAAATAAATAAACATCTCTTGCAAAGACAACAGGAATTGACATCAAAAAAGGAGCTTAGATTGCTACCACTGGGACCCTCCCTTCCTCCCCTCTCCAACCCCCCTGCTCCAGCCTTTTGTATTTTCCAGCTATTTTACATCATCACTTTGTATCCAGTGGTCTTTACAAAGAGCCATTTCTAACTGAAAAAAATATTAAATTCAAAGACATTTGCAGACATAAACTTGGCTTGTAGTTAGCAAGTAAACTAAAGCAGGGTCCCTATGATTTAACAATAAAATGTGAAACATAAGGAACAACACAATGTGTAGTAACAAGGCACTGTATCAGAGAAAATCCAAAGTAATAGGTAGGATAGTCCCGGGCCAAAATAAAAATTTGTCCTCTGAAGGACAATTTTTATTATTTCACCAACTGTCCTTAGAGAATGAATTTATTTGTGCAAAGAAGCGACTAGCACAAATGATCAGTGATTTGGAATAGATTGCACATTCCTACATTGGCCAACTTGACAAATTAGCTAATGTACATTATACTACGGAAGAGTGATGCTTAGACTTTTGAACTAAAGGTACTACCCTACCTCAAAGGCAGGTAGTATCTAATTCATGGAAGTTTTTCTATTTGCAAATCAGTTTCTTTTGGGAGTAATTTGATTATACTAAGGTAGGTCAGATTCTTAAGATTTGCTGATTTAATGGGGACCCCAGTCCCTTAGGACCTGAGCTTCCAACCAGTCTAAATATATTTATTGGAAGATTTTCCCACTTTCATTCAGAAAGAGAACTCAATGGTACACGACAAGCAGAATGAACTGTGTAGTTGCCATTATGATTAATAAACTGGTCAAGAACTGGGGAGTTTTGAACAAATGGAGCTGTCTTATCTGGACATCGACAAGGGGCCCTCAAAGAATATTTCCATCTTCTATCCCCAGTCTCAGCAACGACACCATTTTTTCTTTTGAGAGAGGGCAACTCGCAGGAAGTTTTCTTGAAATGAAAAAGTGAATTTTAATTTCTATGATACAGTGAACCTTATCATTAAACAAAACATTTCCTACAAGCCGAGCCCATGATAACCAAATTCCAGTCAACAGGTCAAGAACATGGTCAAGTCAAATTAATATAGTACTGATTATTAACAGGAGGAGAAAGAATAAAAGTCAGTGGGTAAAAGACTAGAATGCTGCATAGATTACACAAAAACAAACCAAAAGGGTTGGAAGTGGAAAGGAAAAACAAACAAAGAGGACAGACAGACTGACAGAATGACAGAGAGAGCAAGGAAGTAAAGTAGAAAACAAGGTTATAAGTTAAGGAGCCATCTGGAGTCCCTGGCACAGCATGCCTAATACTAAGGGAGGAAAAATAAATAAAAGAAAACCAGAAGGAGGAAGTGCTTGGGTGGGGAGAAGAGGCAGGTGCAGGGTTGGAAGGGTTGTCCCATACAGCATAACTCCTAACCTAGGCTGGCCGTCGTGTGGAAGCCACGATTAGGAAGCAAAGCAGCTGGTGCATTGTGGTGAAACAATGCACCAGGAGACATAGAGTTGGTGGCATGGATTTTTGTGCAGCAAAAGTCAAACGAGGACATGGAACGTGAGTGCTTACATGTTAATAGCTTGTGTCTGCTGCCTCCCCTCCCCCATCGCCACAGGACAGGGAAGTCATCTGTATCAAGTGTTATCTGTGAGCTGATGCCAGTGGAGCCTCCCTTCTTGACCTCAGCAGCCTGGTTAGCTTTTAGCATCTATAATAAGAAGTAGGGGTGTCCCCACAGTCCTTCTCCATGGGACAGGACACATGGAGCAGGGCTCCTTGGCTCTGATTAAGAGCTGGTTAAGAAACAGGAGCGCTGCTGCCAAGAAAAGGCAGGCCGCGCTTTACACCCTCCTCTTTTGCTCACTCTATTTTTATCCACTTTTAAAATGGTAAGGCCTTGGTTGCACTTTTTCACTGATCTCTTAACATTCTATTTTTAGAAAAAGCTGGGAAACTGCTTCTGCAAACTTCAAAAATGGGAACACAGAAGAGGGCTAAACAGGTAAAGAAGGCGTGGTATGTGCTCTCAGGGACTCGCTGGACAGGTTTCCTTTCGGTTCCTGCTACTGGTAGAAGAATGGACTGGCTTGAGTTTGGGAGCACGGGATGGGATGGCTAGTCCATTCTTCCCTTGCTATGTAGGAAGATGAAGATTTTCCAGTAACATGATTATTTATGGGAATAAAAAGGTAGCTCAATAAAGGCCAAAGGGTGATACAAAAATATTAATATGAACCGATTAAAGCCAAGGTCCGTAGAATACAGATATGAGATTCAAATTCTGTGTTCACATCAGTATCTACTAAATGCACTACAAGTTTTTCATCTAAATTTCTATTGGATGTTTTCATTTCTTGCTAGATCAGGTGACCCCACGATATCAATGTGTTAAAGGAAAAATACTTGACAAACAATACTCTAAGCAGTGGGGTCCTTTGGCCTCCTTCTTCCCTCATGATTATTATTTTTCTCACATGACAGGATCCAAAGGGCAAGAGCAAATTAGAGACAGTGCTAAAAATGAGAATCAATCAGTCCAGTTGGTGGGTCTGTCTCAATGAGTGGAAATGGTCTGAGTCTTTACGGTTTGGCTGGAATACAGCGTCCAGATCAACCAGAATTTTCAGCCTGATCTGGTCTGGCCAAGAGACAGAGCCCTTGCCTTTCCCAGTTTTAATTGACCTTTAAAGTCTGATTTTAAGGACGCAGTCACTGGTTCAGCACACTGGCCAGCCTGGAACTGCAGTGCCTCTGGAAAGTGTGCCTTTGAGACGTGTGCAGATACCTGCACACAGTGTCTCTACTAACCCTTAAAAGATCCTGCTGAGGGAAAAGTTGTACATTGGAGCTATACTTTACTTCATAGCTTGGGAATAGAAATATTAAATTCCGTAGTCAGACCCTAAAGCTATACAGCAGGAACTCAACTATGAGAGATAAAGCGGTAGGAGTGATGGTGGAATTTTTTCCCTCCCTGCAGGAAAGGCCAATAAGCCTTTTCAGAAGGGGGACAATTTCTATGCTGAGGGAAGAAGCCCCAACAGGTCCGCAAATGGAAGACGTGTCCCTAGCGATGCTTGCGCTCGCTTCCCCTCGCGGACCTCACACGTGGGAGATGTTCTCTGATGCCCAAAGGCCCATTCACATATGTTTGTGAGTCTTCTCATCAAATGAATAGATTTCTCCTGGAATTTTTGGGGGGAGGAATTAGCGATTAATTGAGCTTCTATCCCTGTGACTGCTAGAGCTTTCAACTGTTCCATTTTCCACAAATTATGGAAAGAACATTAGGTAGACTGTCATGTTATCATCCAAAGGACAGCAGCAGCTGTAGGGTGACCTCGCTGCATGATGTCACTGAAACAAGCTCGATGGGGAGCAGATATTCTGTTAATCAGGACTTTGCACGGTTGACCCAAAGCTATGCTCCATGACCGCATGCAGCATTCAGACATCCAGGAATGCATTAGGTAGACTGTCATGTTATCATCCAAAGGACAGCAGCAGCTGTAGGGTGACCTCGCTGAATGATGTCACTGAAACAAGCTCGATGGGGAGCAGATATTCTGTTAATCAGGACCTTGCACGGTTGACCCAAAGCTATGCTCCATGACCGCATGCAGCATTCAGACATCCAGGATGGCTTGGCTCTGCAGAGTCTCTTGACAGGTAGCACAGCTTCCTAACCCTGCTGGAACTGGCCTTTCTCCCAACTACGAGGGTACTTCAGAAAGTACATGGAAAAACAGAATTAAAAGATAACACAAATCTTTCCATAGACATTTTCATGTACCCTCGTATTCAGGATGAAGGCCTTCAGAAGGAGTATGCCCAAATTTCATATGCTCCTAGGAGACTTTTTTAATGTTTACAGTGTGAAAATTTCTATTTGATTACTTGTACGGATAGTCTTAATGACTCAAATTTAATTCCATTAGCAGTGGAATTTCCACCTAAAATAGCATGAGACTCTTTCTTTCTGTTTTCTATTTCCTTGCCCGTAAGATAATGAAGTTGACTGGAGTCATGCTTGAATAGCTCCAGAAAATCTGAGTAATTCAAGTCTGTGCACATAATATTGTGTTGTAATGTTAGGGCTTTCTATGTTACTATATTAAATAGATGATTTTTACATTGCATGTCAAACTTCCATCAGTCTAGGATGTGATGTGTTTTTGGAGTGGATGCACTTTAAACTTTTATTCTCAGACTCCTGGTTTGATTTCTCCTGTAGGCATATCCACCACTCTGACTTACCCTGGGTTTTATATTAGAGCATAGCCAGACCCAATCAGTGGGTCAAGCAATGTGGGATATATATGAATTTGTGGCCCGTGAGATGATTTTAAACTAAGTGAAGAAAGCTTGGGATTCTAAAAGCTGCTGCACTCAGTAATATTTCCGTCAACTAATCATAGTTTGAAAGCAGAGCAATCATTGTTATAGCTGTATGATCCCTTCTAAAGGAAAAGGAAATTAGTTAGGAACTGAAAGGTAAGACGAGAAAGAGAAAAAGAGTTCAGCTCATAGGCTCTAAATTCTGCAGGCTAAAAGGAATGATGATTGGTCCATACCCATAAATTCAAT